CTGAATTTGCTTTACTGTGTATTTCTAGCCTTTTCTGTCCACATGCAAAATATTTTTTTTATTGTTATAATCCTTCCTTCCTTCCTTCCTTCCTTCCTTCCTTCCTTCCTTATTAAGAAAATTTTTGCATTCATTTTACACACCAATAAACAATCCTCTTATTTCCTCCTCCTGCCCCCCCCAGTCTTCCCCCCCCAACCCACCCCCAACTTTCCCCGACAAGAAGGCAAAATCTTATATGGCTAAGCTATCTTTGGGTCCTCTGCCACAGCTTTGGCGGCTGGGTCCACCCCTTCTTGGATATGTGAGAGCAGAGCCTCAAGCTCTAGGGCCTGGTTGGAGGTGTGTGACCAAGAACTGCATTCAACCACACCAACTCTCGGTAGTTGGTGCCCTGCACTGTGATCAGGCGTTTTCACTTTGCTTTTTGTTTCTACTTAGTGTGAAAAGGCTGTTTAAGTGCTCCACTGTATGTTTTCTTCCCCCAGCTTTCTCAGGCCTTGTGTTGAAATATAGACCCCATGTTAGAACACCAAAATGTACCAGACTTTTTCTTTTAGGTCACCAACCATCTCCCAAATCATGACACAGAGACTTATTATTAGTTATGAATGCTGGGTCTGGCTTAGGCATGTTTCTGACTAGCTCTTTCAACTTAAATGAACCTGTTTCTCTTTATCTACCTTTTATCTCAGGCTTTTTACCTTTCTTACTTCTGTATATCTTACTTTCACTACTTCTCTATGTCTAGCTGGCTGGTGGCTGCCTGACTTCTTGCCCTGGGTTTGTCCCTCATTCTTGCCTCCTCGTGTGTGTGTGTGTGTGTGTGTGTGTGTGTGTGTGTGTGTGTGTGTGTGTGTGTGTTTTGTTTTTTTGTTTGGTTTTGGTTTTTCAAGACAGAGTTTCTCTGTATAGCTTTGGAGCCTGTCCTGGAACTCACTCTGTAGACCAGGCTGACTTCAAACTCACAGAGATCCACCTGTCTCTGCCTCCTGAGTGCTGGGATTAAAGGCATGTGCCACCACTGGGCAATTTTTTTAAGCAAAGTTTATCCTAGGTCTCTGGGGTATCCTGCTTCTGAGTCCTGGAACTCAGGGGGGAGCTCCCTCTCTGGGCATGGGTCTCCAGCTCTGCCAGTCATTAGTTGGTCACTCTTACAGTTTCTGTGCCATCTTTACCACAGCACATCTTGTAAGCAGGACAAATTGTAGGTTGAAGTGTTTGTGACTGGGTTGGGGTCCCAGACCCTCCACTGGAAGTCTTGCTTGGTTACAGGATATGGCTGGTTCAGGCTCCGTAACCACTATTGCTAGGAGTCTTAGCTAGAGTCACCCTCATAGTTTCCTGGGAGTTTCCATTGCTCTAGGATAGAACCAAACATGAATGGCAAAAAAAAGTCAATGAAATAATTTTTAATGATATTCTACTATATTCACATATTGTGACCTAGCCCAACTGTCATCAGAGAAGCTTCACCCAGCAACTGATGGAAACACATGCAGAGACCAACAGCTAAACATTAGGCAGAGCTTGGGGAATCCTATGAAAGAGGGGGAGGAAGGATTGCAGGACTCAGTAATGTTAAGGACACCACAAGAAAACCCACAGAACCAACTATCCTGGGGCCCACAGAGACTGAACCGACAACCAGGCAGCCTGCAAGGGACTGACCTCTGCATATATGTTACAATTGTGTGACTTAGTCTTCTTGTGGGACTCATGACAGTGGGGGCATGGGCTTTCTCTGACTCTGTTGCCTGTTTTGGGGACCCTTGCCTCCTAGGTTGCCTCATCCAGCCTTAATAGGAGGGGAGGTGCTTATTATTATTGCAACCTGATATAATTGCAATTGCTGGTTGTTATCCATGGGATGCCCACCTGTTCTGAAGAGAAACAGTAGAGGAATGGATGGGATGCAGGGAGAGGGGTATTGGGAAGAGAGGGTGGGGCAGGGAACTTTCACTGGGATGTAAAAACAAAAAAAGTTCAAGCCCAGTATGACTGGCTGTTCTAGTTCAGTCTGTGGTCAGCATACTCTGACCCATGGTAGTTGGTCAAACCTTTCATTATTACTAAGGACTGTTTTCATGCCACAGAGGCAAAGCTGAGCTGTTTCAACAAAGGTCTCCTGACCCAAAAAGCCAAAAATATTTACACTCTGGCATTTGCTGAACTTGGCTTTAGTGACACTTTTATTGATTTAAAAACAAAGTGACGAACACAAACCCTTTGAAGTCTCTGTCTCCCATGAATATTGGTGTTGCTGTTGTACAAGGCAGCTCTTGTGGGCAGCAGCTAGTAGTGTGGGAAGGGATCATCCTGAGCTGCACTTTGAGTTGGTGTGGGTACATTTTGGAAATTCTCACCTTGTAGAAAAGTAGGCTCAGTGGTCCTTAAGTTTAGCAAGCATTTGGTTATTCACTGGGAAACTAGTTAAAAATGGGGGTCCACATCAAGTTCCTGGTTCAGTAAGTTATAGGCTGAATCCAGGAATGCACATGTCTAACAAGTTCCCATCTCAGAGTGCTGGTTAGGGCCACATTTTGTTAGCCACTGTTTAGCTTATGAGACGTTCCTTCATAAGCTTTTAGTGAAATCTGGATAGATGGTAGATGGCTTGTGATGTTCTGAAGAGCAGATGGCCTGATTTGTTTTTACAGCACTTTGGGCTGGAGAGATGGCTCAGCGTTAAGTCCCGAGTTCTATTCCCAGTAACCATATGGTGGCTCACAACCATCTTTAGTGGGATCTGATGCCCTCTTCTGACATAAAATTGTACATGCAGATAGAGCACTCATACATAAAATAAGTAAGTAAATCTTTTTTAAAAATTTAACCACTTTAAGGCTATCATTTGAATTTCAGTAAATGTTATAGTTGCACATCAGCAACCCCCTCCAGTGTACAATTATACAGTGTTGAAAGCTCCTTGCTGCTAATCTATTCTGCCAGGCTAGTACTTGATAAAAATGTTAATATGTGCTTGTTCTCTATTTATATATGCATACTTAAAATTATTTATTTTATCTGTATGTGTGTATGATCTGCATGTGTGTCTATGCACCACATATGTGCTTGCTGCCCATGGAGGCCAGAATAGGGTGCCAGATCTTCTGGGACTGGAGGTACAGATAGTTGCAAACTGCCATGTGATGGAAAGAGAGAACTGACTCCAAGTTGTCCTCTGACCTCCATACCCTCAAACCCCCTACACAGAAGTGCATAAATGTAATTAAAAGGCCTTTATCATTTGATCTTTGAAATATTCAGATACAGATAAAATGTAGGAGCTAGCTTAAGGGATTCCATGTGCCAGCCTGACCTGATTTCAAGCATTGTTGGTAGTTTGACATTCTTTCTTTATCTTGACCGGTCTTCACCATCTATTTGTTTCTGAAACTTCATACTCAGTCTCGCAGATGCATTGTTTTTCTGGAAATTCTTCTTCTTATGTTTCAGAATGATAATAAAACTAAATTTTTGTAGGAAAGTAAACAAACTCTTGTTTCTTGTGATTCACTTTGTCAGTTTTCAAAATACTGAGTTTGTATCCCAGCAACCTTTGAGTGTAACTGAGTCTTAACGTTTCATTGTGGGCTCATAGAGTTCATAGCCTGCTTCCCTGTGACTTACTCCAGCCATTGTTTCGCTGTCATATTGCTGATGATTGATGGGGTTCCTAAAGTTTGCTCTTGTCCTTTGATCTTTGTTGTTATCATTTAACTACGTTCTCATTTCCTCTTGTATATGTTTCTAATAATTTAGTATTATTGGGTTCTAGACTCAGGATTTCCAAGGCTTATGTTATACAGTATACTTCAGTCATTATTTCCTTGGCAAACCCAGCTGATCAGTGCAAATCACCCAGAGGTCATAACCCAGTGCTAGGGAGCTTATTTGTTCCAGAAAGTTGTTGATCCTAGAAGTTTGGTATTTCTTTCATCTTAGTGCTTGATTTGACATTGTTCTACTATATGCTCATTCTTATTTTCAAGACTGTGTGATATTTTGGCAGAAGTAAATAGCATAAACACAACTGAATGAAGTTTAATATTCCTTCTCACTGGTACTCAGTAAGACTGTGGCTGCTGTTTTCAGGGGCCTTATGAGATGATAGATAAGAGTAAATGTTAATGGGCTAAATTGAAACTATGATTCAACTTTCTAATGATATGATAGAATATTTGAGAAACATATAAGAAGGAGAATTTTATTTTGGCTTAGAGTTTTAAGAATTCAGTCCATGGTCACTTGCTGTTGTCTTTGGACCTGTGGTGGGAGCTTGTGAGCAAACAGGCCTTTCCACCTCATGGTGAGTGGGAGGCACAAAGAGAAAGGGGATAGACAAAGGCATGCCTCTATGTGACCTGACTCTCCTCTAAGCTTTACTGCGTTAGTAGTTTGCATGGTTTCCAACAGTGCCAATCTGAGTATGAAGCTGTTCAGACTTGAGCTTCTGGGAGGTATTCCAGATCCAAGCTATAGCAGAAGCAACAACCGGATAAAGTGCAGAGGGGCAGTGTCTCAGACAAGAGACAGAGCCAACTGGTTGTACACAGATGAAGAACAGAACTTACAGAGAGAAGAAAAAACTATGCATCAAGGAAGCAGGATGGCTGTTTGGGAAACCATAATTGAAGTGGAGAGTGGGAATAAATAGGTGGAGCAAATCAGGAGAGAGAGGCTTTTGGACTGCGTGGTTCTGAGTAGAGGTTAGTCTCCTGGGTTCTTCAGAGCAACTGGTGAACACGAGAGGAATCTTAGGAAGAGTGGCATGTGGGTAAGTTCAGTTTTGACTTGACAGCCTTACAGAGTATATGCAGATAGCAAGTACTTGATATTATTTGTGGAATGAAAGAAGAAACATGTGAATCACAAGAAACACAAAAATAGAGCCTGCATGTTGGCCACTGGTTCTTGGTCCATCTCTGGCTCACTTGTCTTACCATAAGATTTTGATGAAAAAAATCAACAAGGCAAATAGCTCAATAGAAAAACAGCCAAAGGATAGTGAGTGATAAGCTTACAGAAGGGGAATTCTGGAAGGTTAAGTAGGTCTGTGCTAACACGCTCAAGGTCACTGTAACTACTCAGGAAGTGTAAATAGCATTCAGATCCTGTGATGTGAAAGTTCCTAAGTCTGAAGAAAAACTGGTTTTGACCTGGCTGTGAAATTGACCGAAGTCTGATGTGCTGCTTGCCGGTGAGTGTCAGCTGGTGAGCCACTGCAGAGAGTGGGGAGGTGGTCGCCTTGAGAAAGTAGAAGACCTGCTGCGATGGCATTTCCATTCATTCGTATAAACCCCGGAGAAAGGTACACCAGTACAAGAGACATGTTCAATTTAGAGAATGAAACAAAGATTGATGTCCTGTGTATAGAGTCAATTAGGGAAAACATTATTGTATGTATGGAGTAACATTAAAATACCGAGTTTTAGAGCTTGGATATCTCTGAGGTGGGGGGTAAGCAAGAAGGAAATTGAATTCTAAATGACAACAGGGATGTAAGCCTTCCTTTAAAAGTTGTATTAGTTATGTGTTTGTGCACATGTGTGGGTGCACACTCCCCACAATTTATGCACAGTGGTGAGAGGACAGCTTGCAGTCATCTGTCCTCTGCCTGCACCATATGAGTTCTGCAGCAGGATGCAGGTCATCAGCCTTTGGTGGAAGGTACATTGACCTGCGAACCATCTTGCCTTCTCGCTAGAAAACAGAACAGAATGTTGTAAAACTAGGTAACAGTTACCAAGTACTTTTTTTAAATTCTTTTTAAGATATTTGAAATGTTTCAATGAAAAACTGTTGTGCCTAGACAATTTCAGATTTGTCTTTACTCTCAAAGTAAAGTCTTTTCCTAGCATCTAAAGTAATTTCAAGAGCTACTTTGCAGATTTGATTGATAAATGAGCTTAGAAGCTGTTAGATCTTTCAGAAATGACTTCAGCAACAAAGGCTCACACAGTGCCCTCTGCAGTTCCATCATCTCTCAGGATTCATCCTGCGTGCACTCCTAAAGCACATCGAATGACTTGGTCACAAGATCCTAACAAAACACTGAGATTTTATCCTGTGGTCAAAGAACCAAGTGCCTTCGATGTAAAGGTACAAAGGACCGGGATATGAGGCCTGCATTGTATGTCCTCTAACAGTGCAAGAGAAGGCTTCTTAATGTGTGCATTTCTAAATTGTAACAATTCACTTTAAAATGGTATTTACCGCAGTGGTGTTTTCTCAGACTGAGAAGCACCTTCTTTTACAGAGTCATGTGATAAAAAACAATGGGCATGTAGTGAATTATTCTGTGTTGATTTCCTTTAGCCTTGTACTCAAACCAAGTCAGGGTCCTCGTTGTTAAGCTTTTTAACTTGTGTGTAAGGTGTTTGGGTTTTGTGACTTCATGTGATTTCACAATGTGCCATCTGCAGTAGGGAAATGTGTGAGTTAGTTTGCAGTCAGAGGGTTTCATTTTCTTGTGAAGTTCATACTACCAAAAGAAATTGCAATGTTTGACTTTTTCTTTAGAGTCCACGAAAGAGGAAGACGAGTCACAGCACAAACCCCCCTCTAGAGTGTCACGTTGGGTGGGTGATGGATTCCAGGGACCATGGGCCAAGACCACCCTCTGTCAGGTACCTGCTTGTTAGCCACTGTCTTGTGCTCTCATTTCAAGTTTTCAGAAAAGGGTACTAAGTTGCTGTTTGGAAGGGTTTGAAAATTAATATATAGAAAATTATACAACAATGAGCAATCACAGAGGGGGGAGGAAGCACAGCTCTGAAGGGAGCACTTGGAGGAGAGACTTCAAGATGGTTCTCCAAGGGGTGCACAGAGAAGACTCCAGTGGTACAGAGCATGCTTTCCATTTCAGTTCTTTCTTATAAATGGGAATCGTTAGATTTGGAAATGGTATGAGTGTTGGAAAGTTTCTTTACAAGGAGCCTAGATTCTTCATAATATTTAGAAGGTTCCTGAGAGGTGCTAAGAATTTTGTATTAAACGGTCTACTCAAACTACATTAAGAATATAGAAACAGATCTGGGTGGTAGTGGCCCATGCCTTTAATCCCAGCACTTGGGAGGCAGAGGAAGGCAGATTTCTGTGAGTTCAAGGCCAGCCTGGTCTACAAAATGAGTTCCAGGACAGCCAGGGCTGTTATACAGAGAAACCCTATCTTGAAAAGCCAATGTATATGTGCATATATATGTATTATACATATATATACATAAACACATACACAGAATAGAAACAAAATATTTTGGATTTTATTTTCCTCTTGGGAAGGAACAATTTAGATAATCTATTAGCAGGATGTATTTTTTTTCTTTTAGCTTTAGCTTTAAAAAGACCATTATTTACCTCAAAAATAGGTGAAAATATAAATCATTACTGTGCTGTTTATTTAAAACCTATTCATGGGCCCCTGAGATGGCTCACTGGTAAAGGTACCTGCGATGAAGTCTGACAACCAGAGCTTGGCCCCCAGAACTCATGTGGTGGGAGGACAACCAATCCCTCATCATCTGTCCTCTAGTATCATGGCATGTGTATAGGTGTGCCTGCACACACAATAAATACAAAACAATTAAAGCCTATTTCCTGTTTGTAGTAGATATTTTCAGAATTACTGTCTGATCATTTTTTGTTTCACATTAAATTCTGCTGAGCCATTTGGCGGGACCCAGAATAGATTAATTTTATGAAAAAAAATGCTAGAGAGTTCATCCTAAATTCACAATCTTTAAACTTATTTTATCAATACCTATGTAGAGTGATTTTACATTGCTCTCATTAAATGCATTGTCCTTAACAGATAAAATGTGTGTGTGTTGTTCCATGAACTGTTTTAACCCATGAGTGGGTTGGTTTTTTGTTTGTTTATTTGTTTTTCTGTTTGGTTTGGTGTGTGTTTGTTGCTTTGTTTTAGCAGGTTTAGAGATCAGTAGGGAATGGTCAGTGACAATTAATTTAGGTAGAATGTGTTTTTTTGTTTTGTTTTGTTTTGTTTTTTCCCCATTTTTTGAAACAAGGTTTCTCTGTGTATCCCTGGCTGTCCTGGAACTCATTTTGTAGGCCAGGCTGGCCTTGAACTCACAGAGATCCACCTGCCTCTGCCTCTGAGTGCTGGGATTAAAAGGGTGTGTTGCCAGGTTCCTAAGAGTTCCTAAGAGTCATATTTTATCATGTTATATTTTTCTTGCTAATAATTGACATTCATAACTTGTCTATTCCCTGTCCCACCCTACAACTTGCCACAAATATGGATGGTGATGATGAATTTAACGTCTATACACACTTAAATACAGGTCACTACCATGTTGTGTCCCCACTAGGTACACTTCCTTTTGTCCTTGGCAGTATCTCCTGTTGAAAGCCGCCTTGTCAGTAGCTAATGTAGCTACGAGGGTTTTCTTTCATATTTGGGCTGTTTTGCTGTGTTTTTTGAAACAGTGTCACTTTATGTAGTCAAGATTCTTGTTTTGTTTTTGTGTGTTGCTATGTGATTCGGGCTATCCTCAGACCTCAGCCTCCATGTGTGAGATTACAGTTATGAACCACCAAACCTGAGTCTGTCAGATTCTCCATGGTATTTACAGTCAAACACACATTTGTATGCACACAATATTTATCCTGTTATATTCCTCTGATAGTCTTAGTACTAGTTTGTTATATTCAGTTAGGAAAAATTTCTACTGTCTTCAGTACTGTTTAAAATTATTTTTTGTTTATATGTATATGTGTCTGAGTGAGTTTCTGTGTGCCATGTATGTTCATGAGCCCCTGTAGACCAGCAGATGGCTTGGTTCACCTGGAACAGGTAGTTGTGAGCCACCATGTGAGTACTGGGAACTGAACCTGGGTCCTCTGCAAGAACAGTAAATGATGTTAATCTCTGAGCTGTCTCTTCAGACCCTCTTCCTCTTGTTGCTTTTATTTTAGATTCACAATACACACACGTCATAACGTGTAATGTCTCAGTGCTCTTGGATCTCTGGTGTTTAACTTCCCTACTCTTTCTCGCTTTGAATACTTTTGACCTGTATTTAAACATACATACTATTTTCTCCTCAGCAAGTTCTCTGTTTATATGTGTTGCTTACCTTATACATTGGGTGGTGTGTGTGTGTGTGTGTGTGTGTGTGTGAGAGAGAGAGAGAGAGAGAGAGAGAGAGAGAGAGAGAGAGAGAGAGAGAGAGACTGAGTCTTATTATGTAGCCTAGACTGGCCTAAAGCTCACTATGTACACCTAGCTGGCCTCAACCTCAGATCACCCTATAGAGTCTCCCAAGTGCTGAGATTAAAGGTGTGTGTTCCCACCTGGCAACAGATCTTCAATATTTAATGACAGACAATCATTTTAAAGTCCATTTCATGATAGTGTCAGTGGTGACCCTGAGCTTGGCTCTGGCTCGAGCTATTGCATTACCATTAGGTCTTTAACTTTGACTGCACACATAAATAGTTACTGCTGACTTTTGTTTTGCTTTTGGTATCCATCTTGCAATGTTTCATACTATGTAAACTCAATTTTCTTTACTGGTTTTTTTTTTTTTTAAAGACAAGGTCTTATGTAACTCAGGCTGGCCTCAAATTCAATATGTAGCTGAGAATGATTGACCTTGAGCTTCTGACTTCATGCCCCTACTTCCTGTGTGCTGGGATTGCAGGGCTGTTCAAAGGACTGAACCCAGGCCTGTGCACTCATGCTAGCAAAGCACTGTCAACTGAGTTCCAGTACCAGCCCCTTGCACTGTTCTATTTGCTCCCGTCCCCCTCGTTGCTGAAGTGGTGAGTGAATATGATCGAAATACATTGTATGGAATTCTCAAAGTGTTAATGAAAATGTGTATTTTTAACTAGAAAAAGAAGACCCAGCTAAATCCGAAGAGAAAAAGAAACAATAGTAGAGTGGAGCAAAGAGTGGCAACAGAGTATAAAGCAACAGGAAACCGAGCCCTGAACTCTTTAACAAGGTCAACAAACTAACAAAGCTACACTGACCAGATAAAAGTAGAAATATCCAAAAAAAAAATTAGCACATTAAGGGCTCCGAAGATGGATTAGTGGGTAAAAGCACTTGCCTCACATGCATGAGGACCTGCATTTGAATCCCCAGCACCCCCATGCAAAGCTGGGCATGGCTGCATTTCTGTCGCCCCAGCACTGTCTCTGAGAGAGACGGACACACCAGAGCTTGCTGGCAGCCAGCCTAGCTCCAGGGTCAGTGAAAGACCTTGTTTCTAGGGAATAAGGAGAGAGTGACAAAGCAGCACATCGGATGTCCTCCTGGCTTTCACTCACCCCCACTAAAAAGGAAATGACCACACTGCTGTCAATCTTTCAGAGGTTACACAGGAGAGAGCACTGAGCACAGCTCTATATCCACAAAAAATAAGGATGAAAGGGAAAAGGTTGATCTGAGCCCACAGTTTTGGACGTTCCACAGCCTGTGTTTGGGTGCACCTGTGCTGTAGGCCTGTGCTGTGGACCTGTGCTGGACCTGTGCACTGGGCTTGTGCTGGACCTATGCTGGACCTGTGCTGTGGGCCTGTGCAGTGGGCCTATGCTCTGGACCTGTGCTGTGGACCTGTGCTGTGGACCTGTTCTGTGGACCTGTGCTATGGACCTGTGCTGGACCTGTGCTGTGGGCCTGTACTCTGGACCTGTGCTGTGGACCTGTGCTAGACCTGTGCTGTGGACCTGTGCAATGGGCCTATGCTCTGGACCTGTGCTGTGGACCTGTGCTGTGGGCCTGTGCTAGACCTGTGCTGGACTTGTGCTGTGGACCTGTGCAGTGGGCCTATGCTCTGGACCTGTGCTGTAGACCTGTGCTGTGGGCCTGTGCCAGACCTGTGCTATGGACCTGTGCTGGACCTGTGGTAGGCACAGGCAGCAAGCACATCATGGCAGGGGTGCATGACAGAGCAAAGCTACTTTCCCCATGGCCATGAAGCAAAAGAGAGAAAAGAGGAGGCCAGGGTCCCATCATCACCTTTATAGGCTTCTGACCTAAAGACTCACCATTTAATTCTACCTCTAAAAGGTTCCACTACCTCCCCAAAGTGCCACACTGGTGATCAAGCCTTGAGTGGAGAAATTACAATATCATGTATCTGATGAAGAATTTAAGTCCAGGACATCTAAAGACTTCTTAACTCAACAACAAGTACAATAAAACTAAAAAATAAAATAAAATAAACCAATTTACAGGCTGAGGGGCTGGAGAGATGGCTCAGTGGTTGAATGTGTACTATTTTTACAGAGGTCACAAGTTCAGTTCCCAGCATTCTGATGAGTGACTTACAACTGTAGCCGAAATTTTCTCCAGCTCCACCCGGCTCTGCTGTCTCTCAGCCACTTATAAAATAATTATTCAGAGGCTTACTATTGATTACCAATTGTATGGCCTGCGGCAGGCTTCTTGCTAGCTAGCTCTTGAAACTTAACCCATTTCTATTAATCTGTAAGTTGCCACGTGACTGTGGCATTACCGGTCTGCTGGCATCTTGCTGTTCCTTCGGAGGCAGCTGGCATCTCCCTACCTCTCCTTTCTTCTCTCCATATATCTGCTTGGATTTCCCACCTGCCTCTAAGTTGCCTTGCCATAGGCCAATGCAGCTTTATTTATCAACCAATCAGAGCAACACATTCTCACAGTATACAGAAAGACATCCCACAGCACACAACTGCTTATAACTCCAGCTCCAGAGGAGCTAGTATTCTCTTCTGGACTCCAGTCACCTGCATTTCCACATGCCCACACATGGACACACACAATTAAATGAAAACATATCTTTAATGAAAAAACAGATTGATTTTAGAATGTGTGAAAAACTTAAATGGACATTTCTCTAGAGAAGATAAGGTATACAAGTGGCAACTCAGCACACGAAAAGAATTGTGACATAGTCTTTGGTTAGACAAAAACTAAAAAAATAAGAAGAAACTTACAAGATACCACTAGGTCAAATGAATAGAATTGTGTACCCCAGAACCCATATATTGAAGCCCTAACCTCTCATGTGAGTGTCTTTGGTGATAGGGCCTTTAAGGGGGCAATAAATGAGGGCATAGGGGTAGAATCCTGTTCTAAAATACATACGTCCTTATAAAGGGGTTTATAAGAAGACGTAGAGACATCAGGCATGTTTCTTTGTGCCTGAACAGAAGACAGGACATAGCAAGAAGGTGGTCACATGCAAGTCAAGAGAAGTTTCACCAGAAATCAACTCTGTTTTAGGAGGAGGATGCTGAGAATCAAGTCCCAAGGCCTTGTGCATGCTAGACAATTGGTGTACTATACTAGGTTCTCTTCCCACCATTGGTTCTGAGATAAGAACTCATGATGGAGCCCAGGCCAATCTGGAACATGCTGTGTGGAGCATGCTGGCCTCAAATGTGTGACCTGTTTGCCCACTGCCTCCTGCATTCTGAGATTACAGGTGTATGCCACCACTCAGAGGGTCCTAGTTTACTTCTCTGTTGTGATAAAACATTGACCAAGACTAACTTGGCAGAGAGAGGATAGTCATCACTTAGTGACGTCAGGACAGCATTTCAAGGCAGGAACTGAAACAGATCCAGAATGGATTGCTACTTACTGGCTTGCTTTCAAATATCCCAGGGGCTGGGGGCTCCTGCCCCACAAAGTTACCTATAGGCCCTGATGGAGGTAATTCATCAATTGAGGTTCCCTCTTCCCAGGATACTCTAGTTTGGGTCAAGTTGACAGAAAAGAACCAGAACACCTTTTCTACTCTCCATCTTGTTTTTGGGCTTCTAAAAGCCTTTAGAATTTAAGGGAATACATTTCTGTTGTTTAAGCCAACCTAAGTCTGTTCTGTCTTGTTATGTAGCCCAAGATGATTATAGAAGTATAAAAACTTTCTGAAAATGTTTGTGAGGATGTACACAAATTGGAATCTTCTTGTATTGCTAGTGGAACATAAAATGCTGAAGCCTCTGTTGAAGAGTTCAGCATTTTCTCAAAATGTCAAGGTGTAGAATTACTGTATGGCCTAGACATACCACTCCTAGAGTCTACCCAGAGGGATTCTGTGTGTATATAAGTTCTAGCTGGTTTTGTGTGTCAACCAGAAGACAAGACTTAGTTGAGGAAATGCCTAGATGAGATCCAGCTGTAAGGCATTTTCTCATTTAGTGATCAATGGGCCCAACCCATGGTGGGTGGTGCCATCCCTGGGCTGGTGGTCCTGGGTTCTATAAGAAGGTCGGCTGGGCAAGCCATGGGAAGCAAGCCAGTAAGCAACACCCTTCCATGGTCTATGCATCAGCTCCTGCCCTGTTTGAGTTCCTGTTCTGACTTCCTTCAGTGATGAACAGCAATGCTGAAATGTAAACCAAATTAACCCTTTCCTTTCCACCTTGCTTTTTGGTAATGGTGTTTCGTCCCAGCAATAGAAACTCTAAGACAATGTACATGCCTATGTATATTTGGGTAAACATGTGTACATGTTTGTGTGAAATGCAGGTCTTCATAAGTGTGTTCTATTCATGTCGAGGTTAGGACAGCCTTAGTTGTTTCTCAGGCACTGTCTACCTTTTTGTGAGACAGTGTCCCTGACTAGCCTTGAACTTGCCTAGAACTCTGGGATGGCTCCCTTGTGGGACCCAGAGATATACCTTCATCCATCTCTCCCAACACTGGGATTACAAGCATGTGCTACTGCTTGATTTTTTTTAAGAAATGCGGGTTCTGGGTATTGAATTCAGGCTGTCATGCTTCTAAGCAAGCACCTTGCCAAAAAGCTTTCTGCTCAGCCCTATCTGAAGTTGTAAAAACATTTGTAGGCCCATGTTGATAGCAGCAATATTCACTGCCAAAAGTTAGAAACTCAAATGTCCACCAACATGACTAAATAAACACAATGTCATGTCAGAACAGCAGAGTATAGATGTTATTCAGCTATCAAAGAATGGGATTGCTTTATTATTTATTATTGCTTGGTTCAAACCCAGCAACTTGGATGTGCTAGACAAGCACTCTGCCGCTGGTCCATACTCCTGGACTCTGAAATTTGATCCTTGCTACAAGGATGGACTTTGAAAACAAAGTAAAAAGTGCTTACTGAGATGACCTGGATACAGAGGGATAAATTGTATCATCATACTGGCATAAAGCAGGTAAAACTGATTCAGAGATGGAAGGAGAATGAGGTCATTTTGTGGGTGAGAGGCAGAGTAGACGTTCCCAGGTAATAGGTAAGTGTTGGACGTGCTAAGAGTCTGGGGTGTGGATGGTGGTGGTGACTGCATACCGTTGTATATACAGTGCCAGTGAATGATATGCTTACACTTAGTGTTTAACATGATAATTTACATCACGCATATCTTAACATAAACACACAAAAAGGCCATTATTTTATTAAAAATGTCTTTAGGTACCAGTGGGAAAAATCTTTTTGTTGTTTTTTTGAGACAGAGTTTCTCTGTGAAACAACAGCTCTGGCTATTCTGGAGCTCACTGTGTAGACCAGGCTGGCCTCAAACTCACAGAGACCTGCCTCTACCTCCCAAATTCTGGGATTAAAGGCATGCACCACACTAAAAGTCTTTTTAGGTATTAGGTTCTGACAAATACAAAATTTGTAAAATCTCATTTTTGCTTGAAAACTCAAGTTTTATCATTGAAAATACTCAGTAATTTTTCTTGATGTTAAAGACCCAGTCAAGGCAACATCTCACAAATAATGAGCCTGGAGAATGTAATCATTGGTCTCTCTAATTCAGACAGTGCTGTGGTAGGTAAGATAGTTCACGAATAAAGATTTTTTTAAAAACAGTACTTACTCCATGTGAAAGCCTCCTGTTTTACCTCACAGCTTAATCACATGAGTGCTTCAGCACGAGACATCTGATCTTTAGTAGACCATGGAAGCATTGTGTTTTTGTCACATATATTTAAATTGTGGCAAACACACACACACACACACACACACACACACACACACACACACATGCCCCAGAAAGTTTAACTATGCATGTGTGTAGGTATGTGCCCCCAGGCATGCAGGTGTATAAGGCAGAGGTTAATATTGTCTGTCACACCCCACCTTTCCTGTTTGAGATGTCTTCAACGGAACCTGGAGCTCTCCATTTGGGCCACATTGTCTGGTCAGTGAGCAGCCAGGATTTGTTGGGGTTGTAGATTATGCACGTCTCTTCCTGCCTTCTCTCCATTTCCATCCTGCTTTAAGTGTGCAGTTGAAGGTTTTCAGAACATCTCCACCATACAAATCTGAGGCTTCCATGTTTCTGTCACTCTGTAACTGTGATGTCATAAAGTTACTTTTTCCACTTCATTCAAAAGTGAAGCTACTTTTGTTTCTCATTGCAAGCACATAGTAGGGAAGAATACAGTTAGTAATAAACCTCGACCACAGCCCCAGCTTATGTCAACACACCATTACTTTTGTCCTGTAGGGTGGACTCCAACACTAGAAAGAGCCAAGAGTGTCTTAGTGTTGTATGGAAACAGTCTGGGTTTGCTGGCTTTGGGAAGGTTCTCCTGTACCCTCCAGGGCCAGCCTGCACTTTGAGAACTGCTCATGTGGACTGCTGTCTTAGGAGGATCTTGGTGGCAATGTAGAGGAAGAACAGTGAACCCAGGGGAAGAAAAGACCTAAATTCGAATAGCGGGTTCATAAGAAAGAAAGGCCAAGGTGGTAGGGACTTCTGAGGGGACTAGTTTAGACACCTGCAGGTATGACTTTGAGAAGGTGAGATTATTAGTTTCTCCCTGTCAGGTTTTATCTTTCATTCCATCCTTCATTTTAATCTAGTTAAGTTGAGGTTTTCTCTGGTACTATAATGTTGACAACAGCAACAACAACAAACTAATCTCAAATAAATTAACAATCTGGAAGAGTAAATATGCTGTTCATTTTCTTTTTAGAGTTTTAGTGAATTTGTGACATTGTTCTGAGTGATGCTATATTGGACCTGTATAGCATATCTTCTGTTGATGTATGTATCAATAGTTAAGGATGGTTTTACACTGCTCAGGCAGGTAGTAACGAAATAAGATGCACACATTGCTTTATGTTTTGGGAGCTTTCCTTCTTCCTTTCATGTGTGTACATGTGCACATGTACGCATATATGCACACATACCTATGTGGGTATGTGTGCACAGACACAGAGAGGATGAAAGCTGATGTCAGGAATGTCCCTCAATTACTCTCCACCTTACTCATTGAGTCAAACCCAGAATCACTGATATGGCTGATATTGCTAGGCAGCTTGCTCCAGGGATCTCCTGTCTCCACCTTCTGAATCTGGAAGTGCAGGCAGCTGCCATGTTTACCCAGCATTCACATGAGTTCTGGTGATGAGAATCCAGTCCTCTTGTTTGGGGTGCACCACTGATACTTTTTCCTCTCCTCAAACAGCAGTTCAGCTGCTTCACCCTCGGAAGGTGCACCGCTTGCAGGAAGCTGCAGCTGCACCCCTCACTCATTCCCAAAGTTCCAGCACCCATCTCATGAGCTGCTGAAGGAGAACGGCTTTACCCAACAAGTGTACCACAAGTATCGTCGAAGGTGTTTAAGTGGTAAGATGCATGTCCTTTGCCTAGCTGTGTTGAGATCATAGGGAAACTCAGTCTAAATGGCAAGTGTCTGTCCTTTGTCTAGCTGCATTGATGTTAGAGGAGATTCTAAAACTTGACTGTCACTTCATATCTTGCTGAGATAGCCTTTTATTTTATATACTTATAAATAGATACCTTTAGTTTATATTTTCCTGTGTTTTTTTATAGCTTAAACACATAAGTAAGTGAATTTAGTACATTCTTGGTGCTGTTGACAAGTATTTATAATTTGAACAGTGTGTCAGAGGTTTACTGTTGGTCCTCTAGTTACTCATCTCCATTAAACATCTCAATTACCATTTCAGAGTTAGTTTTTGTTTGTTTTTTTCATTTTGAGGTATTATTTCTTTCCAGAGAGAAAACGCTTGGGAATTGGACACTCACAGGAAATGAACACCCTCTTTCGTTTCTGGTCCTTCTTCCTCAGAGACCACTTCAATAGGAAAATGTATGAGGAATTTAGACAACTTGCTTGGGAAGATGCAAAAGAGAATTACAGGTCAAACGTTTCCTAATGCTTTTTCTAATATTCTTTTTAAAAAACCACAATTTCAAGTTGTCTGATTTTGAAAATAATCACAACATAACTGGAATGAGGATTATATTTGTTTTCTGTTGCTACATAGTAAACAACCCCTAAACTCAGAGGAAAACAATCAGTTGTTAACTCCTAAGGGCAAAACTATGGGAGCCATCTAGCCAGGTAGCTCCAACCCAAGGTTCCTCATAGGACTTCACTCAGCATAGTTCCGGGGCTGGCATCCCTTTCGGACCTTCTTGGGCTCCTTCCCTTGGCTGTTGGCCAGGGTATCATTTCCTAGCCACAAGTGGCCTCATATAGAGTATTTTCAGTGTAGCTCCTCACAGAGCAGTAACCTAAGAAAGAAGGGCAGCTTCCAAGGCAGATGCCTCAGTCCTTATCCCAGGGTCTCTAGGTATTTAGAAGAAGAGACAAGGAAATGCTTTTCTGATGTGTAAAGTGAGTTCACAGCCCTCTCGTCAACAGATCCACTGTGAGTATACTCTATAACTGTCAGGGGCCAGCTAATTAAGCTTATGCCATTATAGTTGAGATCAAAATTGTGGACTTTTCCAGACAAAAGATTATATTCAAGAAACGAGTACACCATTTAAACTTTACTTTGAGAAAAATCTAAACCATTTCCAATGTCACTGAATCTTTTGACCAGTTCTTAGGAAATAACACTGCCCTGCACTGATTAGCATGTCTGTTAAAATTTGTGCGCTATCCAAGAACTAACAAAGCTGAGGCACAAGGCTGTCAAGTTCAGGGTCAGCTAAAACTACACTGTGAGTTCTAGGTAGCCTTGAGTAATGAGTGAGACACTGTCTCAGAAAACAAAAACAAGAAACACACTGAACTTACCTCTCGTTGAGGTTTGTGCCATGTTTGCTTGTATAAAATATCACTGTGAAGTACCTGCAGGATTCTAGCAAAGCCACAATTTTACACCATTTTCTTCCTTTCCATAGGTATGGGTTAGAATGTCTTTTCAGGTTTTATAGTTATGGACTGGAAAAAAAATTCAGACAAGAAATTTTTAAGGATTTTCAAGAAGAAACCAAAAAAGACTACGAATCTGGTAAAAACAAACACTGTCTTTGGAAACTGTAGACTTGAACTGTCAATAACTAGAAAGGAAGCCTGACAGGATGCCTCAGTGGGAAAGGCATTGCTGTCAGACCTGTGACCCATAGTTAACAGAAGGAATCTGCTCTAACAAGCGACTTGGCCCGCACCCACTTGCACATGTGTGTGTGAGCGCACACACAAACACAGATGTAGCTTCAGTAAAGAAGAAAGAACTTGCAGAATTTATCTTCAGGATGTATAATTTAAGATCCTGCCCACTATTACAGTTCTTGATGAGAAGGCTCCTTCTATGGGGCTTTTTGTTTGTTTGGTTGGTTGGTTGTTTTTGGTTTGGATTTTGTTTTTTTGAGACAGGGTTTCTCTGTGTAGCAATTCTGGCTGTCCTGAAACTCGCTCTGTAGACCAGGCTGGACTCAAACTCACAGAGATCTGCCTGCCTCTGCCTCCTGAGTGCTGGGGTTAAAGGTGTGGACCACCACACCTAGTCTGTGAGGTGCTTTTACCTTATGGAGGTATATGTCAACATTAACTTCTTGATAAACATGGCTGCTCACTAGTGTTCCTTCTCATGAGCATAATTGGGTATGCTTGGCAAGGCAAAATTATACTGTGAGGAGTGTAGTCTGTGGTCCAGATACCTAGGTCTGAGTCCCCTTCCCTTGCTCAGTAGCCATGTGACTTAGGCCAATTCCTTCACCTTGCCAGCTCCCGTGTTCCCATCCGTAATGTAGACAAGAGGAACCATCTCACCAGGCCAGTTATGTGTGGTTCAGATTATTTTGATCTGTGATAAAACTTAAATAATACCTGTTATATAGCAAATGATCAGTGAATATTAGCTGCCACCATTGCTAATTTATTGTGTGTCTTATTGGGCTGCAGATCGTTTACTACTGATGGGATCATATGTATGATAGATTTGTTAGTTCCATATAATATATTCTTTTGTTTTTAAGGCCATCTATATGGACTGGAAAAATTTTGGGCCTATTTGAAATATTCTCAATCTAAGACACAGTCTGTTGACCCAAAACTTCAGGAATACCTCTGTAGTTTTAAGAAGTTAGAAGACTTCCGTATTGATGTAAGTTTTTATTTCTTTCCCCTATTGTTTGTATCACCTGTATAACTCAACAAATTTTTATAATGTTAATCTTAAATTTTTTGATTTTTAATTTTGAAATTTTAACTTTCTGCTTTTGACATCAAACTTTGAAAGCAGGTACAAAAATAGATAAGAAAATTACCATTATTTTCTTCATTTAGATTTCCCAGATTTAGGGGCTGGGGAGATAGCTCAGTTGGTAAAGTACTTGTTAAACCTGCATCAGCTATCCCCAGCATCCATGTGAAAGCTGAGCACAGTGGAGTGTGCATCTGTAACTCTGACACTGAGGAGAGGGTGTTCGAGCAATGGCCAACCAGCCTATCCAAATTCATGAGTTCCAGGGTTAGTGAGAGACCCTGTCTCCAAAGACAGGTGGAGAGTGACAGAGGAAGATGTCCAGCATCAACTTCTGGTCTCCACATGCATGTGTACACAGACACATGCACACTTATGAACACACACCCAGAGTTCCCAATGTGAACATCTTACATAATGGTACAGTTATCAGTGCATTTGAATTTGGATACGCAGCCACACTTCGATGGCTTCTAGACTAAGGAGATGCCACTGGTTTTTCTGATGTGAAACCTTTTCACTAAATTTTGTCTGATTTAGCTTTAAATTGTTTTCTGTGCTAAAGATTGAACTGAGGGCCTGTATATGCTGAGCAAGAGTTCACCATTGAGCTGTATCCTCACCCAAACGTTTTACCCTTTCTTTCAAAGATTATCCTATTTGTGCATGTGTGTATGTATATATGGAGGCAACCCACAGAATCCAGGAGAGGGCTTTGGATTCACTGGAGCTGGAGTTACAAAAGGATGTGATCCACCTGATGATATCACTGTTGGGAATCTCAACTGTGGTCCTCTGCCATAACTGCCAGTGCTCTTAACTCTCCAGCCCCATCTCTCCAGCCATAACTTTATATATTTTTGGGGGGTCATGGGGGGAGTGCTCCAGATAGGGATTCCTCGTGTAGCCCTGGCTGTCCTGGAACTAGCTCTATCAACCAGACTGGCCTTGAACTAAGAGATCCACCTGCCTCTGCCTCCTGAGTACTGGGACTAAAGGCGTGGGTCATTACTGCCTGGCAGCAACTTTCTACTTTTTAATGTGCTTTTACCCATATAATTTTTTAGAGTGTGTGCTGATATGCATTTAGAGTTTCTTCATAATAAAGTTAGTATAAGGGCTGAGCCTAGTGTGTATGTGTAGTTCTGGATTGGGTAGATCCCTGGCAAATTAATGCAAGACTGTTAATTGGTAGATACTTTAATTGCTGTGATTTCAAGTGTAAAAGAAAAAGGTTAAACCAAGAAAATAACTTGAAAGGTAGAAAGGGGATAAGAGTGGGGCTGAAAGTAGAAAAGATGTCATTCCTGCCTCAATGTAAGCCACAAATGTGGACCCTCAGTTCTAAGTACAACAGAGAGCCGAAGATGACTGTTTTAACTTGTTTTTCAGATTCAAAAATATTAGTCTAATGGTATACATACAGTTGGACCAATAATTGTATAACTGAAAAAGACTCCAATGCACTTGATTTAAATACAGAGTATCCTCTCCCATCCTGCTTGCAGTCTAAATGGGTTTGAAGATGTTTAATTTAGTATCCTCCATAATACTATCTAGTCCCTCTAGCATGGGAATCCTGGGTGAAATGTCAAACTGGCTTGAGGCTGTTTGGCTTGGCACCTACCTCCCCGTTCTGGTTCCATTCAGCTGTTAAACACTAGACACTAGAGAAGCCCAGAATAGGGAGCTCAGTGGAAAGGAAGGGGCTAGAATTGCAATACATCCAAGCGTCTTCTTGGAAAGAGGGAACCCCCTCTGTGCTTATTCCCCAAATGTGAGTCAAGTTTATGTTGACTGAACAAGCTAATCCCAGTCTGCCAAGGAAATGTAAACTTAACACCGTGAGTTGCTCAAAGCACCAATATGAATCCCCTGGTTGGAAAGTCTGGCCTTAGACGCTGAGGGGAGCAGTGAAAGTGTCTTTTCATGCTTTGCAGCCCCCTATGAGTGAGGAATTTGGAAGAAAAAGACATTCATCTACTTCTGGGGAGGAGAGTAATCACCATAGACTCCCACCTCACTCCTCCACACCACCAAGTGCTGCTCAGCCTGCATCTACCAGTGAACTGCAGGAGAAAGCCACAGGTACCCAGTGACAACTCACACCAGGACAGTGCTGCCTCGGCCCCCGTGGGTGAAGGACCAGGGAAGTAGATGATCACACGAAAGTGTGTGTCCTGGGAATCAGCATTAGCATCTTCTCATGTTTAATTGTGATAATCAGAAAACAAAAAGGAAGAAAAATGGTTGTCTATTTTTCTAGCAAGATAAATTCCACACATTTACCCTGATTCCACAAACAAGGTCTGTTTGACCTTAGGAGATCCTGTAGTAATGCTCTTTGGCCTCAGGTTTTCTTGAAGGACATTATTTACAAGAACAAAATTCCTTTAATACATTTAAACACACCCACACAAGGAATACCTAACATTTCAGCTCATCCTTCTCACAGAAGATACACTATGTTGTATTCATCTCTTCTATAGAACTCTTAAAGAGTCAAATAGTCCCACTGTCTGTCCATATCTGAACATGTCAAAAGCAAGGAAGAATTATGTATATAGGTTTTAAGTTCAGAAATGGATATGAAAGATACATTTTTTCTTGTATATACATAGTTTGAAGGAAATTTTTTCTTTGTTTTTTATTTTTATTATTTTTTCCAAAACAATGCACAGCAGACTATAGTTGTCGTGAAGCCTATGGGCTTCGGACGTTGCTGATTTCACAGTGCTATGTCGATATGGAGCCTTCTGAATTGGCACAAGTTGGGTATATAGATTCAGACAGATTGACTTTTGTGATTCTACAAAAACTTGCACATATGATGGAAAACAATTGGGTTCCGTTGGAACATTTGTGTAAATAAATTAATTTGTTTTGAATGTGTCTGCTGTTTATATCTGAAAGTGGGTGTGTCAGAGCAGTCGTATAATCATCACCTAACAAGCATTTTGTTGTTTCTTTTTGTTTCTTTTAATTTTGCTTATGCTCATAATTGTTTTCAAGAGTTGAAACAAATTGATTTCTAATACTTAGTGCTATTGCAACTGATGTAAATAATAGTTTTGTTTTGTGAAATTTAAAAAATAAATTATTTTGAATGATTTGAATTGACTTTTAAATTTTATTTATGCTATATTTACAAAGCTGTAGTATGAAATTCTACTAGCATCAATTGTCATTATGTTTTTTTGGTTTTTTTTCTTTTTTATTAAAAAATTTTCTATTCATTTTATATATCAACCACAGATCCCCTCCCCTCCCGCCTCCCACCTCCCAGCCTTCCCCCCATCCCAATCCCCATTCCCACCTCCTCCAAGGCAAGGCTTCCTGTGGGGAGTCAGCAGAGCCTGATACACTCAGATGAGGCAGGTCCAAGCCCCTCCCCCTGGACCAAGGCTGTGTAAGGTGTCCCACCATAGGCAGTGGGCTCCAAAAAGCCAGTTCATGCACCATGGATGGATCCCGATCCCACTACCAGGGGGCCCCTTGCACAGATCAAGCTATGTAACTGTCTCGCCTATCAGTAGGGCCTACTTCAATCCCATGCAGGCTCCACAGCTATTGGTCCAGTTAATGAGTTCCCACTAGTTTGGTTTGGGTGTCTCTGTACATTTCCTCATCATGATCTTGATGCCACTTGCTCATAGAATCCCTCATTGCTCTCTTCGACTACACTCCTAGAGCTTGGCCTGGTGCTTGGCTGTGGATCTCTGCATCTGCTTCCATCAGTTACTGGGTGAAGGCTCTATGATGACAGTTAGGGTGTTCACCGATCTGATTACCGGGGTAGGCTAGTTCAGGCACCCTCTCCACTATAGCTAGTAGTCTAAGGTGGGGTCATCCTTGTGGATTTCTGGGAACTTTCCTAGCACCCGGTTTCTCCTTATCCCCATGCTGTCTCTCTCTATCATGGTATCTCTTCATTGCTCTCCCACTCTGTCCCTGTTCCAGCTCAACCATCCTATTCCCTTATGTTCTCATTCCCTATCCCCTACCCTCCATTGCCCCCCTTACCCCTAGTCTACTGATGGAGATCTCATCCATTTCCTCTTCCAAGGGTGATCCATGCATCCCTCTTAGGGTCCTCCTAGCTAGTCTCTCTGGAGCTGTGGGTCGTAGTCTAGTTATCCTTTACCTTTCACTTATGAGTGAGTACATACCATGTTTGTCCTTCTGAGTCTGGGTTACCTCACTCAGGATGATATTTTCTAGTTCCATCCATTTGCCTGCAAATTTCATTATGTCACTGTATTTTTACTGCCGAGTAGTACTCTACTGTGGTGATATTTTAATTGTGCTGAAATGTGATTTTATTTGTATGTTAATAAATAAAGTTTGCCTGGAGCTCAGAGGTCATTATCAAGCCAGGAATAGAAGTCAGGTGGTGGTAGCCCACGCCCTTAATCCGATCACATGGCAGGCAGAGTCTCTGTGTGGTCAAGGACACAGCCAAGTGTGGTGACCCTTGAGTCTTTAATCCCAGTATCAATCATAGAGACCAGGAGGTCTGTATAGACAGGTAGTGATGAGGAAGTCATGTGGCTGGATTTAGAGCCAATGAGAAGGCAGAACAGGAAAGCAATAAAACACAAGTCACACAGGGAGAATCTCTCTCTCAGGGGAAGGATGACAGCAAGTGGTAAGTTAAAGGGAGTCTTGGCTCTTACTCTGATCTCTTAGGCTTTAACTCTGTATTTGGCTCTGTGTTTCTTATTTGATGAGACCAGTTAGAAATTCATCTACACTCCATTGTGTATATGTACCACATTTTCTTTATCCACTCTTCAGTTGAGGGGCATCTAGGTTGTTTCTAGGTTCTGGCTATTACAAATAATGCTGCTATGAACGTAGTTGAGCATGTGTCCTTGTGAAATGATTGAACATTCCTTGGGTATATGCCCAAGAGTGGTATAGCTGGGTCTTGAGGTAGATTCATTCCCAATTTTCTGAGAAACCACTGTACTGATTTCCAAAGTGGCTGTACAAGTGTGCACTCCCACCAACAGTGGAGGAGTGTTCTCCTTGCTCCACATCCTCTCCAGCAAAAGCTGTTATCAGTATTTTTGATCTTAGCCATTCTGACAGGTGTAAGATGGTATCTCAGAGTCATTTTGATTTACATTTCCCTGATGACTAAGGATGTTGAGCAATTCTTTAAATGTCTTTTGGCCATTTGAGATTCTTTTTTTGAGAATTCTCTGTTTAGCTCTGTAGCCCATTTTTTAATTGGATTGTTTGGTATTTTGCTGTCTAGTTTCTTGAATTCTTTATATATTTTGGAGATCAGCCCTCTGTCAGATGTGGGGTTGGTGAAGATCTTTTCCCATTCTGTAGGCTGTTGTTTTGTCTTGTTGACTGTGTCCTTTGCCTTACAAAAGCTTCTCAGTTTCAAGAGGTCTCATTTATTAATTGTTGCTCTCAATGTCTATGCTACTGGTGTTATATTTAGGAAGTGGTCTCCTGTGCCAATGCATTCAAGACTGCTTCCGACTTTCTCTTCTATCAGGTTCAGAGTAACTGGATTTATGTTGAGGTCTTTGATCCACTTGGACTTAAGTTTTGTGCATGGCGACAGATATGGATCTATTTGCATTCTTCTACATGTTGACATCCAGTTATGCCAGCACCATTTGTTGAAGATGCTTTCTTTACAGTTTTGGCTTCTTTGTCAAAAATCATGTGTTTATAGGTATGTGGGTTAATGTCAGGGTCTTCAGTTCAATTCCATTGGTCCACATGTTGGTTTTTATGCCAGTACCAAGCTGTTTTTTTTTTTTTTAACTATATCTCTATAGTAGAACTTGAGGTCTGGGATCGTGATGCCTCCAGAGGTTGCTTTATTGTACAAAATTGTTTTAGCTATCCTAGGATTTTTGTTTATCCACATGAAGTTGATTGAGCATTGTTCTTTCCAGGTCAGTGAAGAATTGTGTTGGGATTTTGATGGGGATTGCATTGTCATTGTGTTTTATTAATGAAGTTCTAGTTATAAAGTTCTTAGGTTCCTTTGTACTGAGGATAGTGTGATTCACAAGTACTCTATTGCACTGGCAGAAACAGCTAGTTTCAATTTACTGCATTTATTATTTTCTTTAAGCAGACTGGATATCTTACCTTGTTCTCCTAAGTTAAATGTTAAGATACTTCTGAGGATGTGACTTAGTGGTAGAGCACTTACAAGGCCTCAGTCCTCACCACTGCAAGGCGGGAAGTGGCGGGGGGGGGGGTCTAACACACACGGGTGGTGATTTAGCTGGGGTAAAATGCGGGCTTGGCACTGTGAGGCCTGGACTGCATCCCTAGCAGAAAAGGGGGAAGTGAGAGAAGGAAGGGGGAGAAACAAAGAAGAAAGGAAGGAAAAAGACAGAAATAATAGCATCTTTTGAGAAAAGGCTGTTGGTCAGAAATACCTTTTCATTAGGTTGTCATGTGTAGATAATTATATGCAATTTATGTTTACTACAAAGGCAATTTTGAAGTTTCAGCTTTAGAAACTTCAAAACAACTTTGAGTCAAGACTTAACTTTGAGTCTTCAAAACAGCATTTTCACTCACCTATGTTATAGGGAGGGTACAAAACAAGCTGTGGCCTTGTAGACTCAAGAGGATGCTGTTCTGTTCTTCGGGGGGGGGGGGGGGGGGGGGGGGTTCTGAGCCAGTAAATTTGTTCAGGAAATGATGTATTATCTATAACAGTGCAGCCGGTTTGCAATGCATATTTTATATTATTTTGTGTATACATGTACTTTGAGAAATTCAGAAAAGCTCAAAAATAAAGTAAAGCAACTTTTTAAAAAATAATAAAAAACAAAATTGGTATTATGTTATACATATGTAATTATAACCTGCTAGTTTTTACTCAGAGAAGTTGACTTCTAATGATTTTCCTATTTTTGTACAGTAATCTTCACTAGTTACACAGTATCCCAATATATTGTTCACACATTTTATTTAACTGTTTGTCAATTGTTGAACTCCTCTGTGGCCAGGGTTTGGCTTTTATAGACAAGCAGTTAATTTATAGTACCTTTATGCACCAATCTATGTGTATAAGTTTGGAGTTATTGCCTAGAATACACCTCCAGAGGTTTACATTCAGTGTCAACATACACCTTTTGGTGCCAGTATGAGCGTCTTTCTATCTTTGTAAGCACCATTTACAAATTGTTATTCTCATTAAACTGGGAGGGGGGATGGATTGTTTTCATCTTGTTGTCATATTTTACACTTTTGGGGGAAACATGCTGCAGTAAACATGCGGAGGTCAGAGGACAATTTGCAGAAGTCTGAGTGGTAAATTGTATTGCCTATGAATTATATTATTTGTAGACTGCTTGACTGTGTCCTTTTCTTTTTCTTAGGGGAATGATTACCTTCTTTGATTAATTTATCCGACATCATACTTACCAAGAATGTTAACCCCGTCTAGTTTTACATTTGAGTACAGTTTTGATAACAGTTAAAATTAATTCTAAATGTAAAGCTCCAGCAAATAAAGGCATTGGTGCTTGATGAAAAGAAAATACTATAAACTGACTATAAATTGAAGTGATTGGAGCCACAATTCAAGTCCCTTGAGATCCTATCCCTTTCCTTCCCTGGGACAAGCATGAGGCCCATACCTGTCATCCCAGCAAGTTGTGTAGCTAAAGATGACCTTGAAGTCCTGAGCTTCCTCTTCTACCTCCAAGTACTAGGATGATTACTGGACTACCATGTCTGGTGTAGATTTTATTTGGATTGTTCTGAACTTGTTTTGGCAGCTGAAACTCCAACCTGGCATTTTCTTTGCATCTTGCTGTTATGCTATGGTGTTACCATGCTCCTTTATGTGCTCAGTCTTTCCCCCAACTAATTCCTGCGTGGGAGACAGATTCAGTAGAAGAATGCCTAATTGTATAACCACTAGATGGCAGAATAGAATAAGTCAGAGTTGTAGAGTTACGACATGGGAGCGTGTGTGTGTGTGTGTGTGTGTGTGTGTGTGTGTGTGTGTGTGTGTGTGTGTTGAGCTCTTACTCCACCTTGTGGTGATACAGAATTACCAATGACTTGAATTCCTAATATTCACACATATTTCCCTGTTATTAGTAAATTATTCTGAGCT